CTCCAATAACCCACGATGCGTTCATTGTCTCCAATAACCCACGATGCATTAGTGAGCAGATTCTGTGTGTACAGCAGAGTGTGTGCTATCGGAGGAACGCTAACGCCGTCCTATCCGACAGCACCCAGCCCCTCTACTCTAAATTTCAGACTCCCCCTTACGCTGCCGCTGTCCGTCCTATCCGACATGAAATTAGTTTTACATGTTATTGCTGCTTTTGTGAGTCAGACACCGGTGACTCTTGTTGAACTTCTATCCCACTTGTATTCAGGACGCCCCCCCTTCCCCTTACTGGTCTTTTATGTGTTGTAATCTGCCTTTCTGTAAAACTAATTGCTCTCTTTTAACATAACTGAAGTGTGTATAATCACACATAAGGACGACACAGGAGCACAAAAGCTCTGCAGATTGAAATCTGCTACAGCACGTGTTTAACATTGTTTATGACCTGTTGGAATATCTTCACTGTTTTATTTTAGATTCTTATCTCCCCGTAGTTGTCTCTTAGAGCTTAACTGTTTCTGTTCTGGTTTTAAAGCAGTCTGTGTGTGATTTGTCTCCATGCAGGACGCCCAGCCGTCTCCTCTGGCCCTCTTGGCTGCCACCTGTAGTAAGATCGGCCCTCCTGCTGCTCAGGCCCCCGTCACCTCTCCTCCAGCGCAGCCGCAGCCTCGCAGGCTCCTCCCCATAAAGCCGGCTCCCATCGCCCCCGCTCCACCCAAGAACCTGGGTTTCCTCTCGGCCAAGGGCAATGTGATCCAGCTGCCCGCCGGCCTGGGCTCCACGGCCCCCGGCAGCCCCATCGTGCTCACCATCCAGCAGAGCCCGGCCCGCACCAACACCTCGGCCCCCGCCAACATCCAGTACCAGATGATGCCGCAGATCCAAGGTGCCCAGACTATCCAGATGATGCCACAGGGAGGTCAGATCCAGCTCATACCGGGCACCAACCAGGCCATCATCACCACGCCCATGACCGTACCGGCTCCCGCGGCCGGCACAGCGGCGGTCACACCGCAGAAGACTGTAGCCATCAAGCCCTCCCCAAAGTCGCGCAAGCCAAACAACTCTGCCGCAAACATGCTGCAGCTGCCCGGCGGGATAACGCTGCCGTTCAACATGGCGACCGGAGAGATGGGCGGGGCTCAGTTCGTCACAGAGATGGCGGTCGCCGCTCACAAACCAGGAAAGGGAGGACGAGGGAGGAAGAAGAAAATGGTTCTGGCTGCTTATCCTCCTGCCTCTCCACCCCTCGACCAGATGGAGACCATCCTGATAGAAGCTGGCGACAACATCATCCAGGTACATCTGGCAGAAAAGCCCCGGAAGCAACACAATCTTTTATGTATTCCACTTGGCCCACTTTATAGGTAGAGTTCTCCTCCTGAGTCAATCTTAGACGCAGAGTAAACTGAAAGTGTCTCTGATACATCGTGTTACATTGAAAATGGTTAAAAGGTATCGCTTGTGATAGCTGTAAACGCTCTATAGAGCTGTAATAGAGCGTTTCAATCTTTCGGCTCTCTTTGGTTTGTTTTTTTACGACGGCAACTTTGCTGTTTTTATTCACACCCACCGCTCTGAATACTGTCCTCAGGAGTCGGAAACAGCACGACTCAAAGGAGACTGAATATCAGACTTACATGCTCCTAATCCAATATTAACATCATACAAATATGTATTGCGTAAAATTGCTTAATATATATATATTCTTTAAATACAAAAAAAAAGTATTTTTAAGAGGGGTAATTGGTCATTTGCTGCCAAATAACAGCAATGAACAATTGTGGAAAGCCCCATAATCAATTTTCCTATTTAATTTCATTTAACAATTTCCATTAAATAACAGTCATTTCATTCAGTCGATCAAATTCACATCCCGTGTAAGTCAATAACACACAGACCACTTACATATTTAGATTATAGTTGCCGTATATCAAGAAATTAATTTGACTATTTTACAAAAAACGTTTCACATTTATCTGGTTTTATGATTAAACTTACCAGAGATAGTATTTGAGTATTTCTTGCCTTTATATTGAACGATTAGTCAACTTCAGGAGCCCACGGGTCTTTTCAGTGTCCAGCGTAACAGCAAGTGCAAACCTGCTCATGTGATCAATTATTTCTCGTATCAGAGTTGAAGACCTGCTTTTCACAATCAAACAGTGAAATGTGGACATTGTTTTACTGCTTTTCAGTAACAGTGAGATGAAGTAAAGCTTTGTTGTAGTGGTGCCGTAGCGTGAGCCTCCGCAGATGGTGTGCGAGCTACAAGCTCGACGGGCTGCTCGTTGCATTACTCTCAGAAACACTCGAAGGTGTACGAACAAAAACTGTATTGTGAAGAAGCATAGACGACAACGAGTGTAACTGGCAAAGCGCCATAAACCAACCTCCTCAACGTCGAGGAGGAGCTGTAATTAACTGGGAACTTGTACCTCGTGTTCAATTTGATTTGACTCTTTGTTACAGCCACGCTCTCCAAATAACAAAACTTCTGAGGTCCGCGACCACATGACGCTCAGACCGTGATCACGTCAACTCACGCCCGGCTTTGCTACGGCGAATATAAACCACGCTTCATTGTTGTCATACGGCAACACAATGCAATAGAGAGGGTATGTCATGTTGTAGTTGTCCTGCTACCCTTAAAGATGTGGCGTTATGGTGGCCTATTGATGAGAGAGATGGTCCCATAACTGAACTATTACAGGCTTGACTCCACACCAGCAGCCCACCACGCTGAATCTTTTCCCTTTTCCATTGATGGTCACAGAGTAAACCTCTCCTGTCTCTATCTGCAGGCAGGTAACAACCTACTGATCGTGCAGAGTCCCGGGCAGCCGCCTATGGTGCAGCAGGTCCAGCTGGTCCAGCCCAAACCGGAGTCCCAGGTGGTTCAGATCCCCCAGCAGGCCTTGAAGGTGGTGCAGGCCGCCTCCGCCACACTACCGCCCGTCCCACAGAGGCAGTCGGTCCAATCGAGCCTGCAGATCTCAGATCCGACACCAACGCAGGTACGAGGACCTCTGACTCATTCAAAGCTGCTTATCCTGTATGATAATCATGCTTTAGGTGTTTAAAACAGATTTAGTGCTCTTATCCTTTTAGATTTATATCCATGCTAGCAGCGTTCCTTTGACTTTCCCTCTAGCGCCATCATCAGGTCAATGTTTCAATTTGTCGAATACTTTGATTTATGACCAAATACGTGAGAAGCTGACATTCCTGCCGAGCTGGACTCTGTGTTTAGTGCTCATTATCAAATGTTTGCACACTGATACTCAAAAGAATGTGAACATGGTAAACATTCGACCGGCTTAGCATCAGCATGTTAGCATCGGCGTTGAGAGCATGCTAGTATGCGTTAGCAGCCTGTTTGAGCCGCTACTACGGCACTCTTAGTTTAGTTTGATAAAGGAGGAAGATCGGCTACGTATTTACAACTTCTTCCCTCAGATCCTCTTCAAAACCGCATCCGGTGAGTGGCAGTCTGTTCAGATCCAGGACTCCGTCTCCCCCACAACGACCTCCACCACTTCGGTCACCACCTCGCCGCCGGCCGGCTCCAGGAGGGCGGGGGGGCGCAAGGAACGGACTCTGGCAAAAATTGCCCCGGCGGGGGGGATGATATCGCTGAACACGCCGCAGCTGTCCTCGACGACGCAGGCGGTGCAGACGATCAGCATCAACGGGGTCCAAGTTCAGGGAGTTCCCGTCACCATCACCAACGCAGGGGGTGAGCGGAAGTTGGTTCTTTTGGGTTTCTGTTGGTTTTTAACAACGAGAGAGAACCGGCATCGTAACGCACAAATCGTAATCGTAATCACCAATTAGAATTTCAGACCATTTTTGACTGGTGGCAGTCAGCCTGTAGTCTAATTAGATATTAGACTACAGCTTGGCCGGAGCCCTGGGCTGTGTCTTACAGTGTCTCCGTCTCTGTGTTTGTCAGGCCAGCAGCACCTGACGGTGCAGGCCCTGCAGGGTGGAGGGCTCCAGCTGGCAGCGACGCCGGGCCAGCCGGCCATCCAGGTGGACCAGACCCTCACCCTGGAGCTGCCCGGCCAGCCAGGAGAGAAGAAGAGACGCATGGCCTGCACCTGTCCCAACTGTAAAGACGCAGACAAGAGGTGAGTGTGTCAAGACAACAAATACATGAATAAATATCACATTATTACACTTTTTACTAAATTCTGGCGACAAGAGACAACAACTAACTTGGAATTATGAGGCTGTTACGGGAATATTACTGACTGGAAATGTGTATCATGGCCAGATTTTCAGTTAATTGTTGAAATCTTAAATTAGTTACCTGCTCTTAGTCATTTTGAGAACTTTATGTAAGAAATAAAAGCCTTTTTAGTAAACATAGAGATACTGCTGTTTGCTTTGACAGTAAAAAAATGTGTATTGGTAGATACTTTATGTACTTTATTAATAAAGTTTCTGCTCCTGAAAATCAAAAGCTCTTTTATGAACAGAACATTTAGAAACCTAATGCATTTAAGTCTGTTTTGATGCTAAATTAAATGCTGTCAGCTGTTGCTTTTGAATGCTCCGCTCTACTGTTGAAACCTGTATATCTCACTGTGTGTGTGTGTGTGTGTGTGTGTGTGTGTGTGTGTGTGTGTGTGTGCGTGCAGGCCCGGGGAGGTGGGGAAGAGGAAGCACATCTGTCACGTCCCCGGCTGCGAGAAGACGTTCAGGAAAACGTCGCTGCTCAGAGCTCACGTCCGGCTGCACACCGGAGAAAGGCCCTTCGTCTGCAACTGGGTTTTCTGCGGGAAACGTTTCACACGCAGCGACGAGCTGCAGCGGCACGCCAGGACGCACACAGGTCTGAAACACACACACACATAATGGAGTTCCTCTCAGGGAGTTTCACTGCAAAATGGAACAAGATCCCCGTAACACTCAACCTAAAGCAAAGATGGATGAGACTGAGTAAAGTAAAAAGCTACAAATGAGGTCATTTTAACCACTTAATAAACAGGAAACAGGTAATGATCAATTGAAATAATAAAATCCAAACAAAAGTAGGAGAAGTGATGTTATCTCTTGAATTGCAGAATTTTGCAAGACGACAACACAACACGACCGTGTCTTTAATAAAAATGATGTTGTGTTGTTTGTAAGTTTTTAACCCCGTCCCTGTCTCTTTTCTTTCGTCCCCCACAGGAGACAAACGCTTTGAGTGCAGCCAGTGTCAGAAACGCTTCATGAGGAGCGACCACCTGACGAAGCATTACAAGACTCACATAAACACCAAGAACCTGTGAGCGCTATACCGAGCGTATACGCAGACAGACTCTCTCAAACTAAAGACCGTGTCAGAGGAAGGAGGGGCCAGAGGAGACGAAGTCACAGGAGTGTCTGTGACTCCTCCCCCTTTATGGGAAATGCTCCAAAGACAGGTCCCTGTCTCCCCTCTCACTCCTCTGGGACAAAGTGTAGCGTGGTGTACAAACAAACCCTTCCTGGTGGACTTCAAACTGATCTAGCAAATGTATTAATAATGGTTTATCTTTGTTTTTTTTTCCTCTGGTCTGAGTGGATTCCAGAACCAGCTCCGAGCGAAGTCTTCACGCGCTGATGTTCAACTCTGCTTCTTTATTTATGGACTCTGGGGGAGGAACGTACAGAACTACTCAGACCCCAGGACTCCAGTCACAGTTTCCCGCTCTTTTATTTTGTTTTTCTTCCCCCAAATCCCGCTTGACTCTTTTCATTTGTTTTGTTGTGGACTATTGGGAGATCCCAGAAATTGGCTTTCAAAAACATACTGTATACAATATATATATTACATAAAAACTCCACTTCCAAGACTTCTGAAAAGCTTTTAGAAGTTTACCGTGACTATTTTTTAAAGTGTGTGTATGCATACTATTATACATAATATTAATATTGATAATAAACTATTTATAAACATTTTCCATACAATTGTTAGAAATTGATTTACAAAGTAGGTACGTAGAAAACCTGAGGCTCAACGTTTGACAGTAGAACTACAAAGAGGACGTAGAAAGAACGTTTTTATCACATTTGCTTTGAGGGCACTGATGAGGCGGAGCTCTTCCAGCAGAGCGACCCGAACCTGACGTCTCTGGTGGGAAAGTTTTAAATGCTTTAAAAGTATCCAACTTCAATTTCTAAACTTATCTCAGTGAAGATCCTGACTCCTGCTGTAAAATATTCACACAGTGAATGTAATGTAACAAAAGATATGATTTTATTTGGAAATATAGTTTGCTTAAACTGAGAGACTTGACGTTCAAATTCGAATCGAACATCATACTCAAACTTGGTAAAGCTGAGCGATGTTTCAAATTTCTTCAGGTTGATGGAGCATTGTGGAGACAGTTTCTAGTCAACATGAAGCACATTTGGTTTATTCTGAGAGAAGGTCCTAAGGCGCTGCACGTCTCCTATCATGATTGGGTGAAATGATAGAGGACCCAGGATCGATCCCTGTGGAACACCAGAGTGTTGAGATAAACCACATGACAGGCTGTGAGGGTCGTGGTGATGTCACCTTTCATCAGCTGTTAGGAGGACGTTGTTTGTAACATCTCAGATGATTGGAGGACTCCACTAATACTTCAGAAATGTTCTTTAAGGAAACGCCGCTAAGTCACTTCACTTTTAAGTCTCCTTTATCAATGAGTCATATTTCATAGACTGCATCAATAACCTGATGTCTAAGGAGAGTGATGATTTAATTTATGATATATCTATACTACCTAAAATTCTCTACCTTTTTTTTTTTTAGAGAAGTACTGCAAAAACGTTCAACTTTCTGGAGAACTTCCTGTGTTGTCAAGCTGCAGTGCTGAGTTCATAACTCTGAAACAAATCGATAAATATTTTCACAGAGGTCTCTTGAGTCTCCGGGTTTAAATCAGTGAAGTATTAGTGATCACTTTGGTGATAAACCCGCTCACACCCTTCTTTTCTCTCTGCGATCCAAACCAGGTTGCTACATGGCGTCCATCTTGGATACCTCAACGGGTACGTCTAGGGCTGGGTATCCACCTTCGATGTGTTCAGCACTGAAATGTGTCCTCGCTGAGTATCGAAGCTGTCAAGTATTGAGAGTTGGCTTCCAATATTTGGCCAGATTTCTACTCTTATTAACTTGTTCTTTTATCACATCGTTCCTGATTTGAATCAAAACATTTCGACAGTATTCTGTTTAGTTCTTTAAATGGCTGCGTGTGGTTGGACGTTTAGTTTTAACTCTACTTTTATTAAACGAAAAAGATCATTGTTTTTTTACTTGAAAGGTTTGCATTTTCATTGTGGCATAAATACATGTTTATACTTCTCAAAGTAAGGTATCCAAAAACAGCATGGTGCCCAGCCCTACTTACACTGTGTGTACTAATAAATAAGTAACTAAATTCCAGAGTAACTCTGCTATTCTGCTTTACTCACGGTATGATTTTTGATTTTTGATTTGAAGCCTATGCATTGCTGTGTGTGTATGATCAGATTTCCAGTTATTCGGCCTGACTTGACAATCACGTCCCGAAATGACAACAGAAAACTCTTTCTCAGGCCTTTGATCAGTTGCTTTGTACATGAACTTTCTTTCTTCCCAGCTATGTGATAGCTTTAATTCTGAATTAACACTTGAGATGTTTGTGTTGATATGCAGATGACCAGCATTAGGCCTACTGTACAGTATTCACACACGTTACTTCAATATCTTTGGCTTTACAAAAAACATATATAAAGACGATTTGCTGAACGCTTGCTAACATGTCAGTCAGTTTGAAGTCTGAACCTTTTTATTTTGAAAGAAATGCACCGACTTATTGTTAAATAAGCTTTTTGGTCGAATCGGACGGCGGGTAGCGTGTCCACCTCTGTGTTGAGTTCTCACTGTGGCGTGTTTTAATACTGTGACATACATGTTAAATGGATGACGCTGCCTCGCTTAAACATCCAACAACAACTTTGACCAAAAAGCTAAAGTCCGATGTGTTTTTAAAGCACTTTGACCCAGTTTTCATCAAAGTGCTTCCCAGGGGAGACAAATACTGCGTAAAGCTTACATGTAGGTGGCCAATATTTGGTGTATTTTTTCAAGGACGTGTCTGAAGACACGCGATGCCGTTGAGGATGGATAGACAGAGCCTGCTCATATTTATGTTTGTATTTCATGTCTGAATATGTAAATACAGTGCGTGTCTGGGAGACAGCATTAATGTAGGATATTAAAACATGAACATTAAGCTGCCCAGTGTTGCGGTTGGCGTGGCCGGCCCTGAAGGAAATGAACTTTGTACAGTGTGTAAGGAATAAAATATAATGTGACATTGTATAGCTTCATTCCTGCTTTGTATACGACTTCTAAGATCTTTTTTCTATTGAATTAAAGATGCCTCAGAAAGCTGCACCCAGTATTTAAAGATGTTTCTTTTCTGTCTATTTACAGGGAACATTTGTCAAATTCCTTTTGTGTTTTTAACTTATGTTACATGATAATGTAATGTGCACTGATTTAAAATCCACTGGTTCCAAAGTTTGTAGAATGTAATCCAAATTGTAATGAAATATAATGAGATTTTCCAAATTTTGACATTTTTATTGCTGGTTTTGGCGATTTAAATGCTTCTCCTTCTCCAGGCCTGTGTGTCGTATATTGTTCTGGTTATATGGAGAACCCAGAGAACCAGCAATTCATTTTATAACTTTTATAAAGGTGCTAAAACATAAAATTTGCTCCTTTTTTACAGTCACCCCCTCAATAAACAACTCAAACCATTTTTGCTGCCTCTCTTGTTTTTTCCTACTCCCATTTTCGGATAAATGCTAAATAAAAACACCTTTAGTCATTTCGTAAGAGCTTTGTTAAGTCCGTGAGTCTTTCTTTTGTAAAGATACAACATGTCTGACTTTGTCAGGGTTAGAACAATAAAGTCCTGGCTTTAGTACCATCGATGTCCCTGAAGTGACCGAGAGAGGCATTCAATACCATTAAGATAAATTAGGAAGAACAAAGCAAAAGAACTTTAATTTAATTAAATGAATGATTAATAATTCTTTTTTCAGAAAGCATATATACTATATATATGAGAGATCACATCATAAAAGACGACAGAAGTATGACAAGTAAAGCATAAACAAAGCATCCAACAAAATATTACAGATTATTAAAGCACATTTACTGTGTAGGAGTCCTCAAGATATTCAGTGTGAGAAAAACTATTTTCCCATGCTTTGGATTAAATTAGTGACCAACAGACACATAAAATATATTTAACATTAATATTCAAACTATTTTTAATGTAACAATATGGAAACAGTGTGATTGTAGCCAAGCGTCAGACGCACAAGTGCAAAGTTTGAAATGTTATTCCAAACTTTTCAATATTTTCTGTTTCTAGATGCTGAAATATAAGAACTAGTTGAACCTTTATTGTGTTAATTTGTTTATTTCTTTAGCAGTGGTGAAATTTAACCAATTACATTTACTGATAACTCAATTTACAGTTTAGTATGGTATAGTAGTGTATTATTGTACTTTTTACTTCACTGCATTTATTTTACAAATATAGGGACTTTTCTTCAGACAAACATGTATGTAATTATTAGTGATAAAACCAGAACAATTTTATATCCTATGATAATAAAACACTTTGAAAGGAGCCGTGCTGCATTACCAGTACTTTTACTTTTGATACTTTAAGTACAGTTTGCTGTACTTTTACTTTAGTAACATTTCGAATAAAAGTATTTTACCTGTCATTGAGTACTTTTTATTTCATGGTATTCTATGTTTTACTTCATCTAAGTACGTCTTTGCTTTATAAAAACATTTCCGCACAGGACATTTCTTTTGAAAAACCTCTGCGCGACACTGGCGTGCGTCATCAGGAGTCGACAAAATGTAACGCCTGCTAGCGAGATAAAAGCCGGTACAACTTAAAGATTGCTCATCTTAATTATATCCCAGTCGTGTTGTTATTGAGTTATATGAATCACTGCTTCAGCTCGTTCGTGTCTTATTCACATTGTGTGTGTCTTAGCATGTTTAAAGAAGACATATTGTGTTAGCTAAGCTAGTTAGCTAACGTTAGCCTCGTTTGTTTACATTTCTAGGTCCAGCTGGTAACTTCATTCTTCTGTCGTCTTCACAGCTTTCCTTTTCTTCTGCTACACGAGTAGTTAAAGATAAGTGCAGAAACACTTCTGTGATGGAAGATTACCAACTCATGTAAGTGAAGTAACGTCATGTGAAGTCTGTTCATATATGTTATAT